CATAGAAAAGTGTACACAATACACGTACCAGACACGTGCCGACCCCGTCGCACTGTTTGGAGTGGCCGTTACACACACAAGGCACAGTCGGCCTGTACTGCTGGCAGTCTGTAGGCGTGCCGCGCCGGGCGTCACCCACGTACCCCGGCAGGCACTTCTGACACCGGTCACCGACGGTGTTGTGTGCGCAAAACTAGCACATGTACAGTCACACATACCGAAAAGTTAGTAGAAAGTTATCGCGCCTTGTATACATGTACGTCGTTTGGAATGCTAGTCTGGGTGCCGCCTGATTTGCTACGGGGCTCCTCATCGTTTTCAGCGAGCGTGCATGGGAGCCTCGATATACAATTAGGATGACACCCGGGGTACTAATTGCAAATTTAACATTTATATCCTACTAATCTAGCTGGAAAATGTGAGAGATTAAGGTACCATGTTTCTTTCTTCATGCAGTCCCTCGAACAAGGAGAAGCGAATGATACATGTAGTTGCCTGCCATATCGACTTCAACGTAATCTGTATTAGTCTAAACGAGCGTCTTGATGCGCTATACGTACGCTTTCTTTCAAACCATTCGAAGGAACACCCCTTGGACGTTGCCAAAAAGCCATGTTTATTACCGTGCACTTGCCCGATGAGTCGCAGGTCAGGGAGTGGCCGTGACAGTTGCATCCTGGGAAGAGTGGGCTGCAGTCCCTGGGTGTCTGCTGTCTGGGGTTCCCCACGTATCCCGGCTTGCACCGCTCGCACATCTCGCCCATGGTGTTATGCCTGCAGTTCTAGTGTAAATGGCACGGTGCCAAATTTACTTCTGGCAAGTCACAATTCAAGGTCGAAAGGACACACAGGAACAAGTCAAGAGACCTACTTTGTAACATTGCATTTCGCAAATATTAAAACATCAACCCTGATCGAGAAAATGTCTATCAACATCATAGTTTTGTCGTTAATAGCTCATTCACCATATTGCCCCGTTCTTTCTGGAATATATAGAGCAATAAAACCCGTCACGTTTCTTTTGCTTCTTTTTCTTCTGCATGATTTTCCGTGACGCCCGCCCCTGTCATGTTCTCCTTGAAGGTCTAACCGTACGTACCAGACATCTGCCCTTCTCGTCGCAGAACTTGGCGTGGCCGTGACACTGACAGGCCGGGCTGTCAGCCCTCTTACGCCGACAGTCGTCAGGAGTTCCCGTGGTGGCCACCCCGACGTACCCCTCCTTACAGCGCTCACAGAACAGGCCTTCTGTGTTGTGCTTACAGCCCTGCAGGGGAGGCAGACATGATGGGAAGTTGACTAAAGCCCCTGTCACAGATCACAGGTTACATTTAAGTAAAATTTGACCACCGAACACTACTGCTCTACACAAGCCAACCATCAGCCATACATGTATCTTTTGTTCTAGTTTAGACCTTACCTTACAGACTCCGGTACTGTCGCATCTGTTGGAGTGGCCGTGACACACGCACTGTTTCATAGGTTTACAGTCCTCAGGGGTTCCCTTCGTGGCGTCTCCGAAATACCCCTCCTCACACAGCTCACAGGTCCAGCCGGCCGTGTGGTGTTTACAACCCTGTAACGGCGGGTTACATTGTGCAACATCATGTAAAGAGCCATAAAGGGTCAGCAAATGGGTCGAAAAGGTGTACTAGCGAACATGGGTTGCAGAGGAAGACATTAAAACGAATTGATTGTACACTCAGTAACAAGGATGGTGTCGCATTCAATACGCTATCAACAGTACTTTGTTGGTAACGTATGAAGTATCAGGTAAAGATCATCAAAACCAATAGAATACGAGAATGCCACAACTGACCAGACAACGACCGGTTCCATCTTCAATGATGTTGGAGTGTCCATGGCAGGGCCCATTAGTGGCGGCTGAGGAGAAAACTCAGATAACATAACTTTTTATCATATGCAACAATGCCCATCGCTTTATAATTATGTCAAATTAGGGAACAAATTTTTCCTTCTGATAACGCCTTTCCAACTGTTGGTTATTGAATGAATGAATGAAAGACCTTTATTGTACGTTTGTGCTCTAACAAGCTAAGTACAGGTCATGAATAGACAAGGAAAAAGGTTATTACTGGTTATGTGCACGTGCATCAGAATGAGTGTATAGCCCGCTGTATAGGCTCTGGTCTACATTAAAGGTATCTAGACTTATGCGTACACGATAACGTTAGTACTCGTATATCTTCATATGATAACGTCCAACAAGGCAACAAACAACTTGACCAAAGTATGGATGACTTACCGCAGTCCTTCTCGTCCGACTGGTCCCAGCAGTCCGGTACGCCGTCACACAGCCGCTTGGCGGGGATACACCGAGCGGGCTTCCCCCAGCCCGGGCGGCACAGGTGCTGGTCCGACCCGCACTGGCGAACGGGCTTGGCTGGGCTCGGTGTTCTCGGCGCTGTGGGACATGAATAAATGTGTAAAAAGAAATTCTGCAAACGTTTTCGTCTGTTTAGAAGAATTAATTTAATCTATAGCACAAAAAAAGACAGAAATGCAAAGCAGATAATTTTTTTCAAAAAGTTGAAGGTAGGTGAGACGGAACAGTACAAATGTCATGAGAAATAGGTAACCGACATGTACACTACTATTGCTGCGGTACTGTCTTAAGTCGCCAGGCGCACGGCGCATTGGATATATTACCTCATGACGTAAAGCATACATCTGGAGTTGATACAACGTAAGTTTGTTTCATATTGCACCAATTCTAATTGTGACGTGATTGTAAAAAGGTTTCAAGGACATTTTGTTATATTGAAAGACACTGAATACGATAGTGCATGGTGCACTAACATTAACCTAATTGTTACCCCCTCCCGTCGGATATAAAATGGTCTGATCCTAACTCAGGTACAAGTGACCCATGACCTCCAGGTTACTGTCCGTAATGAGGCTCAGATGGAGGAATTGGCGCGAAACTTTGTTGACATCCTGAGGGGGTACCACAGACTACAAAGTCAGACCATATCGGTTTTAGTCGATTCCATTTCCTCTCCTTCTGCTGTCATTTTATGAAAGCCTGACACTTTTACACTGTACATGCAGTTATATGTAGAACCCCAAATATACGCAGAAAATTCCACCGTGTAACTTGGATTTATTTTCAAATTATGATGAACATCGATCGCATATTCAAATTCAAACCCTTCCCTGTACATTGAACTGTCCTGACTGACAACCTTGTCTAGCCTGAGTGCCAGACTGTTTCCAGGGGCAATATATACGGGCTAACTTCTCGGCTCCAACATTTTTCCATAGTACTTGACTAGGTAACCTCTTTGCAACGAGTGATTTCGAAGCAACATGTTCTCTGCAAGTAGACACCCTCCCCACCCCAGCTTGACTCTTGTAAAACTGAACAGAGACGTCTAAAACGTCACGTTTTAAGCCCCCCTCTCCTTTGCCTTTTTACCGTGCAATGGAATGATGTGACCTTGAAGTACATTGCCCGAGTGCCATACTCACGTGATGTAACAACACTGCCCCCTGTGTTCCCCGTACCGCCCCCGCCGGGACAGTCCAGTTCATCTGAAGAGTCAAAACAGTTGGTGACGCCATTACAGCGCAGAGACCGGTCTACACAGAACCCGTCATAGCAGGAGAACGCTGTATCTGGGCACGCCGCGTCTGCGAGAAGAACAGTCCATGTACACAGGAGTACTACTCCTACTGGGAACACTTGCATCGTTACTTCAGGATGACTGTTTGGTCGGACTGTACAAAACTATCTCGAAGTTCTGATTTCCGGTCCCTTCAAATTAAAGCTTCGAGTCTTCTCCCCAATCGGTCACGCATCCTGTTTATTGGGACAGACCCAAAGGGGGTTGTCAGTCAGTACATCGGCAGAACGTACCGCGCCTGCGCGAAACTGGAATTTTACATGGTTTTCGTGATATGTTTGGTCGCATCATAATTTTACCCACCAGTTGCAGGCGGTGTCATGTTCCGACTATAGACTGATAGACGGGATGTCATCCTTACGTTCTGCCTAGCCTGGTTACCAAACCTATTAATATTATAGCTCCCGAGTCCGGCTACATCCTCTGATGTAGGACTCGGGAGCTATAATAGGTTTGGTAACCAGGCTACGTTCTGCCGAGGTGCACAACACATTACGGGCTTGACGCAGACGCAGTACGTTCTGCCGACGTGTCAGTCACCTGATTCGACGCGGAACTCCAAGGGTTTCTTATGAAAACATTAGATGTGAGGCTGTGAAACTGTGTTTAGTTGCAACTGACCTTTTAATTATATATAGATGTATGCGTTGAGTTTTTATTTTCTTTTTACTAATTTAGAATCATTATCTGCGGCACTACTCAATTACATCACACATAGCTGAATACGCATTCCTGAACACTGCTGAGCTCAACCAGCTGCTGCAGCTCTTGGTGGGAAACACTTATTCTTGTGTTGGAGGAATCACAATGTTGCCTACCAACACAAATGGACATTCATGATAATACAGACGGTTTGTTTGGTTAATCACAATGAACACTTACATACACGCACGGCAACGACGGCTTTATGGTCTACTGACTATTACTAGTATTGGGGCTGTGTACTTAATACCGCCCGCGCCTGTACCTGTAAAATATGGTCCGGATCTGAACATGTGGTGTATCTGTGTCTGTACCTGAACAAAATGAAACACTAGCGGGCACCATAAGGCAAATTGCATCTCAAAGATTTTGCCAATTGTGCACTTGAAATCAGTAAAACCTGTTTTGGATTAAAATATCTAAAGTCTCATGCAAAAAATACAATTTACCACTACAAAAGGCAGTTGGCTACCTGTATAACTCACAGATGATTGGCCCGGTTGAACTTTACGGTTACCCAGGTCCGGACCTGTGCCTTAACCCGCGTTTACCAGTACGTACGTTTACCTAAATTTGTATAGTACACAGCTCTACAGACTATTGATTGGTCCAGCTGGCAAGACGTAACAGACATGGCGCATGTCACTCGAACATGCATCACGCCCTGGGGCTGAACAGACGCAGGTAACTACAGGAACAAAATACTTCAGAGCCGAACCACTTCCACTTCGCCAACTCAACTACATTTCTGCATAAGGTAAAATCTCACTATGTTTTACTGTTTCTACTACTTCTTAAGTTGTATTTAAACCAAAGGAGTCGACCCACATTCTATCCTCCCTTTATGCTTTCGTTCTTAGGTGTCCTTTTGGCAGCCGATGAGTTCGTTTGCCAACCTTCTGTACTTCTATAGGGGTCATATCGCAACATATTTTTAAGTTTTGTCCAGTTTTTTAAAAGAAACAAGCCAAGTTTGTGTTTTCACGATCGACGAGCTTCACATAATGTGTAGCTATTTAGTAGTTATTCCTGCAACACCAAGTGATGTATTTATGACGTTACGAGTATAAGTGTTTACGGCAGCGCCGCATTTATTTGACCAAGGCGGTTTGTGACCAGATGGTTTACAAATGACAATCCTGCTTCTGAATCACAAGGTACGGGGTTCGAATCCTAGTCCCAACAGTTTTTAAGTTTGTTCAATCCGTATTCAAATCCTAATTGTGATTGTGAGGTGAATGTCACTAGGATCGAACGGCACCTCTTCATGGCAAGATCGCAGAGACAAAAGTGTAGTGCGTACATCTTGAAGAACAGAACTCTTACACTTCTTAATCGATCTGCTGGCACTGCACAAAACGCACATGTAATCCCACACTTACATAGCTTTTCACTAGTAGACGTAGATTGGTATGTTTACTGCTGTAATTCAGTCCTTTCCTCACATCGCCAATGATGGGCGGTGTGCATTTCTGGAACCCTCCTCGCTGTGTATTTGTTATTAGAGCACGCAATGGCGGCCAGTGCCCGGATGTTTGCTGTGTTTACGGTGCTCACTGCTGTCGTGATTGTCATCACGGTAGGTTTTTGTTTTATTAGTAAACTGTTACCATGACCAGACCGTGTTGACATTATTGGGGGGTTATTACCTCAACGGCTGTTGTAAAAACGCCAACGAACGAATTTCATTGTAATGGACAGACTTCCATTTGCAAACAGTATATAGTAACTAATTACGTTATCTGAGAATAAGTGGATTGTTCGGCACATGTAAGTTTTTACTACAAGGCAGAGTAGAGCTAGCAACATTCAGCAGTTCACATGACAATACATAGACCTCCATCGTCTATCAACTACAGCTGTGATGGGAACGCTATAGACTTTCAGACACCTTCGACCAACCCTGATGTGAATTTAAAGTCGCGTGCTTGAATACTTGAATACTAATGTCAGCCTAATAAGTAAGTGACATTACCATATTGTTCTTCTTGTTCCAAACAGGCTTGGCAGTTTTCCACGATCCAGGCCATTAACCAACGATTAAAGGTCTGGTACCAGTACGTTACAGACCGAAGGGATGCTCTGAAACTTCGCCTGAATGAGCCTCCAGTTAAACCCTGTCTCCTCAATCAAACTCTTTTCAACCAGACCACGTGTCCAAAATACACGCAAGTTGTCGTCCTAAACAGAGACCACCTGTATCACCAAGGAGATGTTCTTACCGTAAGGGTGGTGGCAAGATACGAAGAAGGAAGGCCGAAGACGTATGGAGGGGACTTTTTCCGTGCTAGACTCATCAGTAGTGACCGTTCACCGCAGGCCAGTAGCACCGGTCACGTCACTGACCACTGTAACGGCACCTACACTGTGCAGTTCCCGCTCTACTGGGCCGGCAACGTTTCGGTAAGTACATGTACAGTGAAGGGATTTGTTAATGAGAAATAACTGTTCTACAACTCAGAAGAATTTGACTCACTAGAATTTTGAGCCAGCAATTTTCGACATCTGCTATATCTGGCCCAAGTGCGGTAGACACGTGATGTTTTCGCATGTGCGACGACAGCACTGGGTCAAAGTTCGTCGGAAGTCTGTACCGCCCCCCGTTCCGGTTGAGAGAAGATTGATGTGCCCTGATGTAGAGAAGAGATTTGGTGTGGACGAAGCGAGGCTGTTGGTTTCAATGGGCAATATTTTTTTTCATCTACAGTTTCTTTGTCATGGTCCGTTTTCCCTGTAACTATCTGTGGACGTCTTTTGATTGTGCTTACTGTGCAGCTTTTCGTGCCCAACGAAGCCTTCGAAAACCCTTATAGGAATATTTGTCCTCTTAGTTTGCCAGAAACGTAGTTTTTCCTATTTAACGTCAACTCCAACCGAGAAAACCATCTGCCTGATTTTCCTGTTTTAGATAAAGATCCAGCTTGTCCATCCCAGCGAGGCAGTGAAGGTTCTACAGAGAGTGCGAGAAGTTCCAAACAAGCGAGCCTTCTCCTGCAGCTTCGTCGATGTAAAAACGAAAGCTACCAATACAACACAGTGTTTCAGCTCAGTTAACACCAGCCTACCGCCCAAACAGCAGTGCGATTTCTCAAAGCCGGAGGTGAACGGGACTTGGATTTGTGAGAAACCGGACAAACTTCCGTGTTCCGCCATCTCAAAGTGCCGATGGGACCCGGGTAAGAGCAGGGCGAAGGTGCTGGGACTTGTATCTGGAGAGGAAGAGAAACTTTTACAGAAGTAAATACCGAGCATTTATTTTACTCGTCCTCTTCATAAGTTCATGCACGACACGATGTTATCTCTGCAAGTACGTTTTGACTTACTTGGTTGTACATTTGCACGTTAACCATCTTTGCATATACGCATAAATTGTTATGGTCAATACATCATCATCTCCGTCGCCGCTCCTATCTGGTGAATATGCGGGCCACCACTGCTCTCCACTCTTTCCGTCCTGTGCGCTTGGCCTCTAGCGCTCTTCCAAGCTAGTGCAGCCCATCTCCTCTTGGCCTCTCATAACTACTGTTTCTCCGACGTCATTTGGGGATGGAAAATGTATGACAGTCTCATCGATACATTACACACAGATCTTATCTTGAGGAGGAACTTGAAGTAGACACTAAGGAGCCCATACATGTCCTCGAAGCAGAACCGCCAACACTTCCACACCTTCCAGCGTGTACGTGGGACAAGTCTGCAGCTTTGGGACATTGGTCAGGCAAGATCTGGATGTCTTCCGTCTGCAATGTTCGAGTGTTCGCTAAGAAAGCCATTCAGCAGTGCCTGGCTAACAAGACTGTGTACATGCAAGGTACGTATCAGTAGTGGTCTGATAATCAATGATTGCACTTCCGGATACGTTATATCAAGGCCATTGTGATAGAACGTCCATTGGACGTAAAGTTAATTCGTAGTCCACTGTGTTCATTGTGCCTGTCCTGGACCACTAAGTAATGATTATGTCAATATATTTTTCTTCTAGGTGACTCCACGCTTAGACAATGGAGTCAGCGTTTGCAGAAGATTGTACCGCTGAACTACAATAAGAGTACCATGGATTCTACAGGTTTGGATACTGTCTTGCCTTTGACTACTAGTATATACAGTTGTGCTCTGAATGCCTTGTAGCCAACGTCTCCATGCAGATACTAGCATTCTAAGCGATCTGTTACAAAACCTGACCCTGAACTGGTGCATTTGTCTGCAGCTCTTCGAGGAGGAGACAACACCCAGTGGAACATCTCTGTTCGCTATCAGTTTCACCACTTCCCCGTACAGGGAGGAGCTTGGATTACCTTTTCTGACTTCCGTTACGTTGTTGATGGGCTGGACGCCACTCGAGGAGGCCCAAACACGGTGATAGTCCTGAGTCTGTGGGCTCACTTTACGGCAGAGCCGCTAGAACTGATCCGGACAAGACTGTACGCCATACGGGCAGCCATACACCGTCTGAAGCGCAGGGCTCCCGGCACGCGGGTTTTCGTGAGGACTGGGACGACACGAGAGCACAAAGGAGGGAGGTTGGAGTTCTACTTGACTGGGAGCGACTGGCTGGCTTACCAGATCACGGAGGTGATACGAGAGATGTTCCGGGCGGATTCAGACGTGGTTGTGTTGGACACGTGGGACATGAGCGTGTGTCAGCCGGGAAAAGACAACGTGCACCCAGATCTAACCATGGTGGACAGTCAACTCAACATGCTGCTTTCTCATATCTGCCCAGACTAAACGGGTTCAAAGGCAGATAAAAAAGTGATTTAAACAAGACGATCAGAGCTGGCAAACTTCACACCCTTTGTGTAATACTGTACCTTTGTGCAAAACTTTGTTTTGTTTGATAATTTGGTGTTGTTAAACGTTAACTTTCTCATGAGTACTATGTAAGTAAGGGTATACAATTACTTTGATAGACAAATACTTTTGTCAAATAAACTGGAACAACCCAACAGAAGACTAACTCACCGAACATCAGCCAAAGATAGCCGACCTTGCTCCTGACCTACTCCTAATCATGGTTGTGGGGAGTTGTTTGGCAGTGTTCGGGACGCTACTTTCGGCGATTTGTGACAAGGACTGAATGATGCTGATCCTAACCTTGTCTGTTCGAAACTCATAAGTCTGAGACAGGTGGTTTGATTTCTTTCTTTTTAATCAAAAGTGATTTGAAAGGAGCAAGGATGACCTGAGATATGTATTATAAAGTTCTTTACAAAGACAAACAAAGGATATACGAAGCACCAACGTAGAATCTTTTTTCAATGGATAGTAAAGTAGCTGCAATGCCGAGTGCGATGTGTTTTACAGCGGGAGTCGCATAGTCAAAGTTACATGGTGAAAATCATCCAAAGCTTTACAGACATTGACAGTGAGGATTTTCACTTCTGTGTCTTTTTATCAACGACCTAAATATGGACAGTTGAACGAATACATGCCAAGGAGACAAGCATTCACGGAGATACCCTGAGAAGTACGTGATGTAAATACGTTAAAGTGCTTGTATAATAAAACTCATTCAAAGCAACTACATTAAATTGTCGAATTCATTCAGTGAATATTCGATATCTTGACAAATACCATGCCCGAAAATTTGAAACATTGAATTTTCATCGCATAATTAAGCACTTAATGGCATCATAGTATCATGACGAACATGTGACAGGGAATTTTAACATGTGTGGCGTGCCTTGAGTTGAGCTAAGCTGGCTCAGCCGGTGACCGGCGTGGCGGGGCAGACGTTCGTCCCCTTGGCGCAGCAGCCGCCGGCAACAGTCGGACCGCCTCCTATCGGCTTGAACCCGTTAGAAGCGTCGCATCTGTTTTAACGGCAAATAGTTGGCATGAGGAGAAACTGCATTTCATTTCACTCGTTTTATAATGTTTAGTTAACCCTAGTCTCCACCAGACTAACACTAAGGGTTCAATACAGAAACATTTAGCCAACTAGGGAGAAGAATCGGCCAGGTTAGTTCATTTGACCACGCATTTTCAGTCAGACCTTATCTTTGCTGAATTCTACTTTCCTAGCCCCCTTAGGAAGGCCTGGTGGAGGCTAAGTTTGTGCCGCTGTCAATCTGCTCCTCAATGATGAAATGGTGCCAAGTTGAACCGTGGTCACGTCTGGTCCCAGGCTACATACATGTAGGAACAGAAATATAAACATTAGTAGTAGTACATCCTGACATTAGAGAATCATTGATTGACCCTCCTGTTATCTGGTATTATCAGGGCCGTACATGTACGTGCATGAATGCACACGCATGCCGTCACGTACACAAGACACAGGAACATGTTGGGTCCATGTGTTCATGTGATCGCGTGATAAAGTACCAATGGCCAGGGGCTAATAACCTAACCACCAGCAATTTAGTGTATGCATTAACCTGACCCATCACTAATGAACGTCAAAAGTTAAGTACGTTAATCATTGATCAAGAATGCTAGAGATTGCATATGTCTCGAAATATAGCAAGAACAAAGGAGAACTTTGAGTCCGTTTTGGGCTGTGGTTGTTGGTACTGTCGATGTGAAGATGGTAGACGACACAAGGTTATACAAACACAAAGACTTTTCAAACAAAGCTTGTTTTTAATATGACGACCCTTTGGATTCTAGAGAAAGAAATCTGGAAGTTTCTCATTACATGAGATGACCGGCAAAAGTGTCAGGTGATACACGCTGTAATGCCGGGTAGACATGACGAATAGACAGATTTCTACTGACGACCATTTTATGGTGGCAGCATGGTATATTAGTATCTGTATTGATGATGTGGATTGCTTTAGAAAAAATGATTTTCTTGAACCTGTTTATAAAAGTTTTAAAAATCAAACGTTGTTGACGAACTGATACATGGAACATAATCATGTTATTTTGCCAGAAGCTGACCTGAAAATGTCAGAAAAAGGTGTTGGAATTTCTCTGTCATCGGAAAATGTGAAACAACTGTATTAACGGCATTGCAGGATTTTGGCTCCACATGCGATCCTCGAGACTGGTGGAACTGTACGTAAGCTACATGGCGGTTTATATGACTTTAGCGTGCATGTGTCGAGTGGTTTGAGTTGTCTGAGTTCGCGGCGGCCTCAGCCGAAGACCGTGGCGGGGCAGACGTCAGTCCCCCTGGCGCAGCACCCACCGGGAACGGTCGGGCCGCCTCCCAGCGACTTGAAGCCGTTGGCAGTGTCACATCTGTATCAAACGACAAATGGCGGTCAAGCGGAGGAAAATTCTTTCATGATTATTTGTGTCATTGTTGGCCTGACCGTTAGAAAGACATGTTAGATGAACCGTAGCAGCACCTGGTCCCAGGCCGAACAGGCCTAGAAGTATAGATATTAGTGGTACGCTGTATACCGTACATGTACAAAATGTAATCTTTACACTCGAGAATCATTGATTGCAACCTCTCCCCTTCTATGTTTCATGTTATTCCGGCCGTACGTGCACGGTAACACGTGCATACCAACACGTACGCAAGACCGGTGAACTTGCCGAGTCGGTGTGCTCACGTGTTCGCGTGCTAAAGTTCTAACCACTGACAATTTAGTGCATGTTACACTAATCCCTATACAACACAAATGAACGTCAAACGTTAAGTCCAAATTACCACCAAACATCTAAAGAGTTTGTACAAGTCTCAGTCTCAGCAAATCAGTTTTGCCGTGGTTGCTGGTACTTTCGAGCACCTGGTTATACAAACACAATGCCTGTTCAGACAAAGGCTGCTATCCAAGTGTTGTATTTATAAAGCTTTTAATATGACGACCCTTTGGATAAAGCTAATCTGGTACGTAGTTACTTATTACATGAGACCAAGAAAATTGTTTGCTTAAATAACATACAGTAATACAGGATAGGCATGTCGGATATTGATGACGAACATTTTATTGTGGTACGTAGCGTGTAGCTGTATTTCTGCTACAGATTGTTTTAAAACCAGGCACGTTTTGCCGGGTTATTGTGTTTAACCTTTCTTTTTCTTGAAACTGATAAAAGACAGGTCAAAAATCAAACGTTGTGGGTGATGCTGAACTGATACATGAAAACATAGCCATGCTATGTTGCCAGAATCTGAACTGAAACTGTCTGAAGAAAAGAGTGTCAAATCACCCACGGCTACGTTCGCTATCATCACATGTTACAACTTCTCCGTCATCGGGACATATGACAATCAAAACAGCTGGAATAGCCACAAAGTTTTGACCCCACGTCCGATCCACGAAACTGTAGGAACGGTAAGCTACGTGGGGATCTATGTGACTTTAGCCTAGCCTGCCGCCACGGTTACGGGGCAGTTGGTCACCCCCTTTTTAACACAGCAGCCACCGGCAGCCGTCGGACCCCCTCCGAGAGGCACAAAACCATTGAGCGTGTCGCACCTAGAATGACATACAAGAATCACAGAAACAGCCTGCATTAGGATCTTATTATGATAAGTCTATGTGAAGAAAATGGCACATATTTCTGAATCAATTGATGGTTTGTCGTAAATAATCGTAATCAGTAATACAAATGTCTATCACAAATACTTGTTTGTCACAAAAGGCCGTGTCGTACGATTTTGTTGTCGTACATGTAGAATTGTTGAGCCTGATGTAGTCAAGCTAAGGTCCTGAACAGTTGAAGGGCTGATAGAAGCGCGATGTAGTCAAGCTAGGGGTCGACCAGTGGAAAGGCTACTAGCTAGAAGCATGATGTAGTCAAGCTAGGGTCCTGAACAGTTGAAGGGCTGATAGAAGCGCGATGTAGTCAAGCTAGGGGTCGACCAGTGGAAAGGCTACTAGCTAGAAGCATGATGAAGTCAAGCTAGGGTCCTGACAGGCCCAGTTGAAGGTATGGTAGAAGAGTGATGTAGTCAAGCTAAGGTCCTGAATAGTTGAAGGCTGCTAGAAGCGTGTAGTCAAGCTAGGGTCCTTGAATAGTTGAAGGCTGCTAGAAGCGTGTAGTCAAGCTAGGGTCCTGAATAGTTGAAGGCTGCTAGAAGCGTGTAGTCAAGCTAGGGGCCGACCATTGGTAGGGCTACTAGCTAGAAGCGTGATGTAGTCAGTCTAGAGGCCTGACCAGTGGAAGAGCTGGTGTTGTATATATATAAAAGCGAGATGCAGTCATGCTACAGAATATGCTGTAAAAATAACTTTAACTCACTGGTTGCAGTTGCTTCCGGCGTACCCATCCTTACAGCCCATACACGTGGGCGCCGACTGACCCGGCAGCAGTATGCACATGGTAGAGCGCCTGTAGGAAACATCGGCGGAATCATGGCTTCATGGACGCCGGACACGTCTGAGATTCATTTTATTCACCTATATCTTATGACAATTTGGCAAAAGTAATAACACAATTATCTGGGCCTGTCATACACCTGAATCAAGATGGACCTCAACGCTTACTGGCGGTCAACGAAGATGTCTTGTGGCTGACTAAAACAATCTTTTAAGGTCTGTGTAGGAGACATGTACTCACGGAGAGCAGGGGCATTTCTTGCAGTCGTTCGGAGTTCCTCCTGTTGCCTTGCCGTAGTAGCCGGTATCACAGGTCTCACAGTACTTGCCGGTCGTGTGGTGCTGGCAGTTCTGCAAAAAGAAATTGAACATTTTTTTAGTATCTATAGTGTTCGTGAATTTCTTGTCTTTTTCATTATTATGAACTTCTGGCAAGTTCTGTCTATTCCCACTAGCTGTCATGCGGGTACAAACATGTGTACAGCCGGACACCGAAGACGGGAACTTAGATAGCCTTTTATGGAACCTTTGACCCAACTCCCTGTTAGTGCCCCTGACGTACCTAAGACGAATAAAATAACCACCAAAAGAACACAAGCAAACAAACAGACAAATAAACAAACGGGCAGATGGATAATCAACAACCTACTCTCCAAGTTGACATCTTGCAATGGTGATAGTCACCTGTTAGGTTAGTTCTTCCACAAATATGGAAAATCTCAAAACATAAATAAATGAACGAATCTCACCTTACACACCCCTCCAGGGCAGGTGCTGGAGTGTTTGTTACATGGACAACCGGCAGTGGCTGCGGAATTGGCAAGAAGTGATACGTTCAGATAAATTTTCTGTCCCTCAAACATTATTCATAAAACACGATAACGCCTTAACGCATGTATTTCTACTGTTCAGCACAGGAATTGAATGAGCAATGAGCACCACTGCGTATATCTAAGATATCTCCAGGCTATCATCGTATTTACTTTACAAAGCAGTTCATCAATACTAACAGATAAACAGATGCCGTTTGGAGTTGGCGCAGTATCGCACAACATCAGCACTTCCACTGACAAAGTAATGTTATGGTATACTGTAGAGCTCACATCATATACGAGTATTGCAACAAGCAGTCTGTGTACCTTTTGATACATATATATTATAATGATTAACGTCAAATTCTCGTGTTTTGTGTGTTACGCACGTTTGCAGTCAGTGGATGTTCCTTTGGTGGGGTCACCGGTGTACCCAGCTATGCACTTCTCGCATTTCGACCCAGTGGTTTGGTGCTGGCAGTTCTACGCATAACAAGCAAAGAGAATGTACCCTCAGAAATCATGCCGAACAGAAGACAGACAAATGAAATTATCGAAAGTTGCGGTACTGTCCTTGGTACTGAAATAGATAGCTACTGAGACGCCTTCAGATTTATCACTGTAACGATCATTTATAAGCGGTTCTGCGTATGATGCTGAACGAATTATACTCTGTAGATAATTGTTGAGGAAATCTTTGAGTTGTTTTCTCAGAGCCACCCTTCAATGGCCCCATCTTGTTTCTTTACGACGCGTGTCGTAGGTCGTCGTACGATTTTGATGCCGTCAAACTTCCAAAAAGGATGTGACAGAAATGTTACACGGACAAGGATCTAAGTCGGACTTTTCGATAACACAAGACAACTGAATTCTGGACGACACATGCTTGGTTAGGCCTAGAATGCCCTCGGTGTGCCAATTGTACGGCGATCGTACGACAAACGAGACCAGGCATGTCCTTACCGTGCAGACCCCGGTGCTCTTGTCACACGTGCTGCTGTGTTTGTTGCAGTTGTCCAGGCAGGACTTACAGCCTGTCGGACCTTTAGTAGCGTCTCCCGTGTAGCCGGGTTTACACGTCTGGCACCGGGGACCCTCCGTGTTGTGCTGACAGTTCTGAACGTGGGAGGAGATGGTTAATTAAATCGCGCTTAACAGCGTCCAAGCGTCCAACACCCACCGCCCCCTAGCGGGGAGCGACGGGCATTACATCCGGAGCTGAGTTTGTATTACAGACTAGGAAATGACATGGAAAAATAAAATACCAACGGTGGACCCACTCCCCTGACCCTATATTTGCTGAATTCTACCACTGTGACACTAACCCCTTATCAAGAATTGGTGAAGGCTAGGTTCTGGATACATCGATGACTTACCGAGCATGTTCCTGCCGGGACGTTACACGTGGTGGAATGGCCGTAGCACAGAGTCGCGCAGTTGGTCGGCTTCGCTCCGGCCGTACAGACGCCCGTGGTCGGGTTACCGGTAAAGCCAGTCTTACACTTATCACACCTGTCACCTTCCGTGTTGTCTTTGCAATTCTGTAAATGGATTCGTTTGCAACCATTTTGTTTTAGAAGGATGTCTCTACATTTTCTGTCCACCATAAAATCTTTCTACAAAGCTTTTTGAGTTATTTTGTCAAATGGAAGTTGTGGGCATTATTTCTTCTCCTTCGAGAAACCGTACACACACACACACACACACACACACACACACACACACACACACACACACACACACACACACACACACACACACACACACACACACACACACACACACACACTCCAGCCAGTAAACCAGGCTGTAACTTACCGTACACTTGCCGGTGTTGACGTTACATGTGGTGGAGTGTTTGTAACACAGAACGTCACAGTTAGCAGCCTTGCAGGAGTCCTTCTTACCGTCTGTCGCCGTCCCGACGAAGCCAGTCGCACACTGGTTACAGAAGAACCCCTGTGTGTTGTCCTTGCAATTCTGATGTGAAATTAAAAATAGCATACCCAAATTGTTAGTACCTATCCCGTAGTACACACATAAGACACACAGAGATAAAGTATTAGCATAACTTGATATACATGTATAACTTTACTTATTATTTGAGGGACACTTACTAAGCATTTTCCTCCGGCTTTCTCGCAGTCGTCAGCGTGGTTGTTGCAGATGCATTTTAAACATTTCCCACCCGAGGTAGCAACTCCCCACCATCCCTTGGCACACTTCTCACACTGGGCTCCTTCTGTGTTGTCCTGACAGTTCTGTAGAAAACAACCAAATGGTTCTGTAGAAAAATTAACCGGACCTCGAAGTGCGCTAACAACTTCTGTTCTCACCAAAAACACGTTCTCTCCAAAAACATTTCACTTCTCTGTACTTGCTTGGCTTGTTGGTTGATGGGCGGTTGCTTGGTTATTATTTTGTTCTGAACTATACAAAACACGTACTCACCACACATTTTCCGGTGGCATCACAGGTTGTGGAGTGGCCGTTGCAGGTGTTGCATGTTTTGGTGGGGCCTGTGCTGGAAGACTTGCAGTCAGTGGGCGTCCCTTTGGTGGCGTCACCGCGGAACCCTGGGCGGCACTTCTCACACTTCTCTCCCTCTGTGTTGTGGCCGCAGTTCTACAAAGTAACAGGTGATAGTCAATGTTTGCAATCTTTCTGTTTAGCGAATGTTAAGTATTGATTTTGACAATCAATTACGGCATCCCTGTCATACATAGCCAAATATGGCCTTCTGAAGGACTAGTCGAACATCCCCCACCATGGTTAGGATAGGTCGGGAGCAAGGTTTCCTATGGTTGGCTGGTGTTCGGCCAGATCGGCTACTGTTCGGATGCGCTGCAGCCGAATATCCGAGTGTTGACAGGGTGTTCGGCCATGTTCGGCTGGTGGTTGGCTGGTGTTTGGAAGTAGATTGGGGCGTGGTTGGCGGCACTGATATAAACTCGATGCAATTTGAGTGTGTCGTCATCTTTTCAGCACTTTTTTATTTCTGTTTTTGGTAAAAAAAAACTGTTCGTACCGTGCACTTTCCTGTGATGTCACACGTGGTGGAGTGACCGTTACAGCTGCACTGTTTGCAGTCGTTCTTTGACCCGATCTTCGCGTTGCCATAGAAACCAGGCTTGCACGTGTCACAGTTACGTCCCTGGGTGTTGTGTTGGCAGGACTGAAAAACATTGATTTTGAGTCGTCATTGTTTACAACAGATATCCCAGGTTCGCTAAACAAAAGAGTCAAGACACTCAACTAACAAAGGCCAGGCGAAACTACTGGCGTTTTTAACTAAAATGCATGGAAATTACAAGTCGGTACAAACTTCGAAGTTCTTGAACGGTTGTGGGACTCACATTTGTTTGTATGCATAACTAGTACATGCGTCATGTTACCACAGCGTATTGTAAGGTGTAAGGCTGACTTACAAGGCATGTTCTGGTGACACTGTTGTAGATGAAGGAATGTCCGTGGCACAGGATCTTCACTGTCAACGGAAAACAAAGATCGGTTACACCCCCTTGCATGCATGACCGGTGAGCGAACAAAATATTCGACAAGTCACTCATTTTCGGTAAGTCACTCATTTTACAGATAAAAAGCATTTTAATTTGAACGTCTTGTTGTCTTTTTGAAATCGTACCTTTAAATATCGTGCATGTGATTATGCTCCAGTTATAAAGTCAAGGCCCATACCAGTCCAATATTGCTCGCTCAGCGATCAAGTGGAAACAGGGCCAAGCTTGTAGATTGTTAGTCTTCTTGCCTTTATTTGCTCTGTTCTCATCGCTTTTCGTAATGAACTGTTTCTATTACATTTGATACTTATGTACAATGTTGATTACTTTGTCATTATTGCCATAAATTGTACATAACTGCCGAGCAATAAAGTTCATTCACTGTTTCCATACATTTCTCTGAATTCTCTCGCCGAGCAGAACATTTCATTTGCAGTATAGCTTACAGTGAATTATGACAAACGGCAAAATGTGTGTACCCACCACATCCGGATTCATCCGACTTGTCCGGACAGTCCGGAGAGCCGTTACACCGGAGTACGCCGTGAACACAGTCTCCGGTGGCGCACTGGAATTCTCCCGGCTTGCACTTCGCGACTAACAACAAGAAATCACTCAGTCGTGATCAGAACTATGCGAAAATGAAGAAGCACATTCTTCAGCACATCAATTTACGTTAATACCTATTAAGAGGACTCACAAAGCGTTGATTCGCAGTAATATTACATTTGGAGTAATCGTTCAATCATATGCGGTGTAAGAAAATCATGAGTGTTTTATGGACCGATGGTGTGACCAGCACGTCGGTAGAACCAACGAGCCTCTTGGTAGAACGCACTACGCCTGCGCCAAACCATTTTTTGTGGTTTACGTTGGATGTTTGGTCAACATTATGTTGCGTTAGAATTTTGCCCGTTTCAGATGATTATCCTTTTTGACACATTTTCAAAGTATGCACGGAATGTCATCATACGTGAATACGACCTTCAACAAGACATTCTGCCAAAGTGCTATAAACAATACATTACGGGTTTCGCGCAGGCGCAGCACGTTCTGCTGACGTGCCTGTGTGACGGTCTGGACTTTGATTCTGACCGATGTCAGCAAAAACAAGCTCCAGTCAGTCACGTCACGACCTTGGAACAAAGGCCAAACAGGGACACGCTATCGCGACGTCAACTCATTTTATGGACTCACTCACTGTGACAGAAACAGTTCTAGGCCAGTGCATCTACATACGTACCTCCATGCAAAAAAGAAACCGTCATATAACGGCCTAGTAGTATCAACATATGTAGCTGTGTAGTAGACATACAGATTCTCGTCCTCTTCTATCAATATTGTATAGCTTTGAATTTATGTGTAGATTCTACTAAAAACTAGCCAACAGTCTGTTGGTAGCCGGTGCACAGGCAGGAGGGTCCGGTAGTCCCTCCAGCTTACACACTGTACATTTGGTAGCTAAAAATACGTGTAGAATCCACGAGCAGTCTCATACAACGCTAGTTTCCTTTACATTGGACCTGTCACAGTTGTGGCGCATGCAATAAACTTTCGATTGACGTCTGCAGCTGTTGTGAATAGGTCTTTCGACAACTTTTACTTCTTTAGAATGATGACAACTCATTATAACGATAAAGGTTTTCATTCTTGCAGTTGTAGTCTAATTTATGAGACATAGAAACTATCTACTATGCAAGGAGCGCAAATCCCAAGGTCAGTAAACTGCCATTGTATGGCGGTTACAAAGTCCGCAAGATAGCTAACCCAAATCACGCCAACAATCATGGCAACTAAGACGGCAAAACTTACGGTAACGCATATATTGTATCTCAAGTTAAAGTTGCCAACATAAATAGTTGCCGATTAAGTGCAGATCAAACATACTAGATGTAACGAGCAAGACGTTAACTTGCTGGTCCAGCTGGAGTGAAGTATTAAAGCTTTTTTTGTATCTAGAACCGTTCTTTGTTCAATCCAGATTCACACTCAGGCAAGGTTTTGGATAGTCTAGACAATGCAGCAAATCTGCGTTCTTGGATACGCGGAGACTATTCAGAACCGTTTCTGATCCTACAAAGTAACCTTATCCGTTTAGCCATGTAACGACAGATAGGCACGGTTCTGGATACAACAGTGGGTACGACTGTACTTACTGGGACAGTAGTCCTCGTCGGAAAAGTCCAGGCACTCGAAGATACGGTTACACCTGCGCGCCTTGGCAATGCATCCGCCGGACGCACACTCGAACTCCGTGGCGGGATCGCACGGCTGTGCCGCTACCTGTACGGCCAGGCAGGCCAGAGACAGAACCGCCCACAGCAGCGTCATGCTTCCACCGTGTTTTGCCGAGATATGCCGACTGACTAACCACGGGCAAAAGTCACATATGAAGTGGTCTCGCGCGCGAGCTCGGCAGGTTATTCTTCAAATATTTGATCACATTGTCCCAAGGCCAAATGGAGCGCAAAGGGGTCTGTGGATACGATGACTAGCCTGTCCGTCTTTACTCCAATTATCATCAATGTAGGGCCCAGTCCAAGCTTGTAAAACTACACATGCATTTTGTACTTTCATCTCGACGTGGAAGTCCTATGAACTTGTTGAATGTGTTTTGAGTTAAAAGTCTGTAGAAATGTTTACAGATATACGAATACTAGAGTCGGGAAAACTAAGATTTGTCCATTGTTCTGTCCAGCGGAAAGATGTTTTCTTACCCATTTGAAAGGACATGTGATGTAATATTTACACATGGTTGCAAAGGTCACTCCCATATTTCTTCAAAATGTGGTGTTCGGGGTATATACTCTGCTGTAGCGCTTTTATAAAACTTTTATGCACAACGGTTTACTCCAGCTCCAGTGAAGTTGTCTCACAGAAGGCCTTCATTATGCCTCTGCCCCCCCCCCTCCCCGTGAGGCTCTGCGGTGAAAAGTCGTCAAGAGGTGACCTTGTTGTGACCTTGTCTGCTAAAATAATTCAAAACAACAACATCGCACGGTCTTTGGTCGATGTTGCATCAGAATTTTGCACGCTGCTGACGATAACAATAGACGGGATGTCATCCTTAGGGTTAGATACGTATATACGCCAATACGAGTAAACTACTTATGCACATTACATTATGGCGGTAGGATCAACCTTAGTTGACACAAAAATGAACACAATTTTCATATTCATTTTCATATTTGTACTTAGAATATCAAAAGAAGATTTTCAACAAATGTATTGCAATCGATCAGGTTTGCATTGAAGCGAAATTTCACACTGAAGACAAAATATGCAATGCTTGTGATGTATGTGCATTATGCATATGCATGTTCGATGGTGACAAGTAGATGAAGTAGTGTATTTTCAAATTTTCAAATAATTTCTACACAGCATTTGATGATAAGTATGTGAGTACAGTACTAACATAGTTCATGCATTAATACGGTACAGACGGATCATTAAACTTCGTTGCACAACTTGAATTACAAAATGGGTCACTTTTAATCGTGTACAGTTTCGTCTACATGCTATTGTCACTACTGCAATGAATTTACGGATTATACGTCCATTTGAACGTTCTATGTGTGGTGTGTCTAATTTGTACAACTAAGAAATCGATGTGAAAAAGTAGACAAAAAACTCGACTTAATTAAACCAAATAATTGTTGTCTTTGACGTGTACAAGTCATTCTCGCGGCTTATCACTTGTTTCGAATTGTTCAAACCCGTCTTTTAATATTGCATTACAAAGACTACGATGCTTCGAATTCAGCGTGTTTATGCCGATGTTCAGCAGGAGCCGTTCTACCGGCTAGCCCCGGGGGCAGCTGGACACGCCCTTCCGCACGCAGCAGCCGGTGGGAGCCGCGCCGCCGCCGTTCAGGGGCACGAACCCGTTCTCCGTGTCACAGCTGGAAACACAGAGAACAGACACGGTTAGAACCTGGTCACGTTCGTCGTACGATTGTCGCATGGTTGTCGTACGATTGCAAACTGAGAGCATTGCTTGAGATATTTGTACATGTGCCTTCCAGCATTAAGCCCTGGGTTGGATATTGGGATAAGGGCCCTGTCACACCTTTGCGTGTTACAGTACAAACAGCACTTACTCTTCACACTTGTCTCCCGTGTAGCCGTCTTCACAACCCATACACTTCGGCTGCGCTTCCCCGGGCACTTCTACACACATCATGGACCGACTGGGAAAAGATGGAAGTGTTATATATCTACATGTATAAAATGTATAGAACCAAGACTTCTAAGCTAATATTTACTTGCTTATTCATTTGTTTGTTTGTTTGTTTGTTTGTTTCCTTGTTTCTTTGTTTGCATTCTAGTATCAGCTTGATCTTTCCGTTAATTTCGTATTTTGGGCATTGGAGTCACGTTTCAAAGACAAGATAATCTCCGGCAATTTATACTTGACAGCCACGCACTGAAACTGGACTTACAAACTTTTATTGGTTAATAGACATAATTAAACTGATGTGAACATTACTGCTTACTACTAACAAGTTATTGTATTCTAAAATATGCTGCGTTGCGTGGACGTTTTGGGATCGAGGACGTTTTGGAATATAACTACTCAGTACATCGCACTGTTACTTACGGAGGGCATGGGCATTTCTTGCAGTCGTTCGGAGTTTGTCCCGTCGCCCTGCCGTAGTAGCCAGGCTCACATTTCTCACAGTATATGCCGGTCGTGTGATGCTGGCAGTCCTGTATGTGAAGCGTTTTAACGTAATGTCATACTACACCTTTCAACCTTCATTATCATATACCAGTACCCTCCTGTGTCCTGAATTGTGGAATGAGGGTCGCCCGTGTGTAAAACTAGGGCAACACAAGTGTGGAATTCTTTAACAGAATTATCCCATCAACATTTAATAAATTCGTATAAAGCAAAATAAATGTACATGAGACTGACCGTGGATCGTTATAGATGCAACATAAAATCAGCTTTGATTACTGATGTTGTTTCACTGATGATGATATCAGTTGACAGAACATGAAGTTTCATATATAGATATAACAGTTTCATACTGACCTTGCACACGCCACCAGGACAGGTGTCAGAGTGCTTGTTGCAGGGACACTGGGTGGCTGTTAAAACAATGGTGACATTATGTTAAAATGTGTTACTGAAACATATCTGTATAGTAACGATGTGGCTCCGGACAAAACACATAAATTATTACTATGCCTATGACGCTTGGCATGTGCACTCTTGTAAACCTCCTTGTGTCTTCGGTTTTTGATAGGACGATGAGATATCGATATTATTCCCTTAATGTGCTAATTTAAGATGGGAAATGTATTGGCAGATGTATATCACGTTCAACTGCTTTGACAGCTTTGAAAATTATGACAGTTGATATTTCAATTGTAGAAAGACATTCATTCTACATATCGGCTATTGTGTGATAAAGCTTAAAAGAACCAACTGATGCCACTCACGTTTGCAGTCGTCGGATGTTCCCTTGGTGGGATCACCACTGTAGCCAGTCTTACACTTCTCACACATGTTACCCTCCGTGTTGTCTTTGCAATTCTGAAAACAAATTCGATTGCGCTCAACTCCAAGTGATAAATCAGAGAGAGAGAATACATATTTCACTGTCCGCGATAACATCAACTCATGATATATACCTGTAAAGTTTAGTGAGTTTTTGAGTTGTATGGAATTTTGGAGAAGGCAGTCAAATTTAACTCAAATTTAATTCAACTTTAATTGGATTCGTATTGTAAGGTAGGCGTTGTCTACGAAAACTGCAATGTACGACTACTCGTAGAAGCCAGCACAGACAGCAAGCGTTAAGCGAGAAGCAGCATAATGTACAGGCCATGTATGTATCTAACACTGTCCACTACTGTACCGAGCAGATCCCCGTGTCCTTGTCACACGTGTTGCTGTGCTTGTTACACTTCTCGCTGCAGGCCGTGCAGGGACCCTTGGTCGCGTCTCCCGTGTAGCCGTCCTTGCACTTCTCACAGTTCGGGCCCTCCGTGTTGTCCTGACAGTTCTGAACGTGCACGTGTGCAGTGGAGGGATTGCATGGTGCAAAAGAGCAAAGCGAGCTTTAAGCTATGCAGGTGAAGTCGAAGCTACCGTGGCCGAGAGGTATTGCAGCACTGTTGAAGTATAACATCTAGGGATTCTTACTATGCATATTAGAGTCAGAAAGGAACACCTGCGGAAATGAAGACAAATGTGCACTATATACTTTCTGACCCTAGTAATATACATAGTAAGTAAGAATCCCTAGATGTTATACTTCAACAGTGTTAGAATAAGCCGGTATTTGTCGGCCTCAGTACAAAGCTACGCAGGTGAAAAGCAATGCAGCATTTAGCGTAACTCTAGCTAATCTCAAATCCTACGTTTTACCTTGCATGGATATAGTGTTGCCGGACTATTTTTTCTGGACAGCATCTAAAGGAGTAGATGTGGGTAAACCGTCATATACCTTACAGATCTTTGTCTTCATGTCGCAGTCCGCGGCGTGGTTGTTGCACATGGCGGCACAGGCGCTATTTTTACAGTCAGTAGGGGTTCCTTTGGTCGCGTCTCCGGTATATCCAGACTTGCACTTCTCACACTTGTCACCTTCCGTGTTGTGATCGCAGTTCTGGTGGAATAGTGACCAAATAGCCAAAATATAGGTTACGACGCGGTCACATTCGTCGAACGATTCTTGTTGTTGCTGTTGTGGTGTTAAGAGTGG